GCCAGAGAGGTCACGGAAACACTACCCTGGAAGCACGTCGGGCGACACAACCATGGGCGTCGAGGCGACCGAGGCCGAAAAGGAGTGGACCATGAGTTGGTCGGACAAAAAGGCGCTCTACGGCAAGAAGAACCTCATCGCCGTCGGCGGCTAGACGAAAGGCGCGAGCCCGGGCGACGTGGTCGAGCGCAAGACGGACTCCGCGCAAGTGCCAGTCACGCACCACGGAATGCCCCCCGCGTGGTACGGCGAGCTCATCCACATGTTTTTCTTGAAGTCAATCGTGGACTTGACGCCGCTGGACGCCAAATTCGCTTGGCAGGCGGTGCGCAACCGCGTGGGGTACGTCGGCATCGCTTTCACCGAGGAGCACAAGACTATGATCTACGCGAGGCTCGTCGAGCAGATGAAGACCGAGATGTGCCAGACGGGCCCCAAGCTCTACAACGCCCAGTACGCGAAGGCGGCAGGGCTCACCGAGACGCCGCCCCCAGCGCCACCGCCGAGCCCCAAGCGCCGCCCCCGGCGCAAGCCCGTGGCGGCTCCCACGGCTGAGCCAGGCACTGGCGGGGATGGTGAGCCTGAGAATGATAATCCTGAGCCTGAGGATGATGGTCTTGTTGGTGATCCCGATCCTGAGAACGCCTGGGATCCCTTTGCATGATGCGGCATGCGTTGCCAGCTGGTTCGGCTGTAGCTGTGATTTTCGTGCTGCAATAGGTCACGAGGACCATGGTGTGCAGCATGGTTGAATGAGGTGGACGGCGGAAGGGGTAAGGTGATTAGAAGGAGGACCGACGATTGAGGATCCATCACCTCATTGTTTCTCGTAGGATGCATTTCGCCAACATGGTGATCTGCGATCGCCTGGCTGATTCGGCCTCTCTTGCACGTCTGGGGAGAACTCGCCCAACTATGAACGTAATGGCATGCGTTGTCGTTATTATCGAAGACGCCTACGGCGAATCACCGCCGCCCCCTGCCTTTTTGGAAACGCCGATGTGGCCGAAAGTTGGACTAGAGCTTGGCCAAGCTATCGGACCATGAGTTCCCCGAGTCGGTTTGGAAAGCTTTCGGGGAACACATGGGAGAGAATGATTATGAACAGGAAGAGGAAGAGGAAGAAATAGAGTAGGAGGATGAGGGTTGTTAGGAGTCTCTTGGGGCACCCTTGGGGTCTGTTGGGGGCTTCTTGGGGGCCTCTTCGAGGCCTCTTGGAGGCATCTTGGGGGCCTCCTTGGGCCTCTTGGGGGCCTTTGGGGGCTTCCTGGGGGTCTCTTTGGCCGTCTTAGGGCGTTCCTGGTCCGTCTGACGCCGTCTGGAGCCGTCTTGGGGGCCTCTCTGGGCCGTCTTGGGGCCCTCTTGGGGCGCTTCAGGGCCGTCTTGGAGGCCATGTTGGGCGTCTTGGAGGCCTCTTGGTCCGTCTTGGGGCGCTCTTCTTGGGGGCCTCTCTGGGCCGTCTTGGGGCCCTATTGGGGCGCTTCAGGGCCGTCTTGGAGGCCATGTTGGGCGTCTTGGAGGCCTCTTGGGCCGTCTTGGGGCGCTCTTGGGGCCGTCTTGGGGGGCCCTTGGGCCGTCATTGGGCCTTCTTGGAGGCCTCGTGGGCGATCTTGGGGGCCTCTTGGGCCGTCGGAAGGCCGAAAAGAAGAAAACGCAAAAAAACCTTCAAAAACCTAAGGAAAACCAATGATTTTGGCCTCTTCGGGCTCTCCTGGAGAACGTCTTGGAGGCCTCTTGGGCCATCTTGGAGGCATCTTGGGGCCATCTTGGCCGTCTTGGAGGGCATCTTGGGCCGTCTTGGAAGCATCTTGGAGCCATCTTACCCGTCTTGGAGGCCATCTTCGCCGTCTTGGAGGCATCTTGGAGGCCATCTTGGGCCATCTTGGCCGTCTTGGAGGCCATATTGGGCCAAGTTGGGGCAACAAAGGCATTGACAGATGGATTTTCGGAAACTTGCGGGTGGCCGGCGGGACGGGCCGAAGCCCACTGGGGAGTTCTTTTAGAAAAAAAACCAAAACCAAAACCTGAAACATCCAGCACGCCGTGCACCCCTGTGGCAAGACCACAGGGGGCGGCGGATCGAAGACGCCTACGGCGAATCACCGCCGCACCCTGCCTTTTTGGAAGCGCCTATGTGGCCGAACGTTGAGGCCAGACCTGCCAAGCTATCGGACCACGTGTTCCCCGAATCGGTTTGGAAAGCCTTCGGGGAACACGTGGGCATCTTGAAGGTCATCTTGGCCGTCTTGTAGGCCTCTTGGGCAAGCTTTGGGCGATCTTTGGGGCTTTTTGGGCCGTCTCGGGCCAGCTTCGAGCCAACTTCGGCCATCTTGGTGGGTTCCTGGCACGTCTGAAGCCGTCGGAAGCCGTTTGGGGGCCCTCTATGGGCCGACTTGGGGCCCGCTTGGAATGCTCCAGGGCCGTCTTGGAGGCCATCTTGGGCGTCTGGGAGGCCATCTTGGGCGTGTTGGAGGCCTCTTGGGCCCTCTTGGCGCCCTCTAGGGGCCATCTTGGAGGCCACTTGGGCCATCATGGGGCTCTCTTGGGGGGCCTCTTGGGCGATCTTGGGGGCTTCTTGGGCCGTCTTGAGCCGTCGGAGAGCCGAAAAGGCGCAAATGCCAAAATCTTCAAAAACCAATGGAAAATAAATGATTTTGGCCTCTTCGGACTCTCCTGGAGGACCTCTTTGAGGCCTCTTGGGCCGTCTGGGAGGCCTCTGGGGGGCCTCTTGGGCCGTCTTGGGCCGTCTTGGACTCTCTTGGGCCGTTTTGGAGGCCGTCTTGGACCATCTCGGGCGGACTTGGAGGCCATCTTGGGCCATCTTCGAGATTTTTTGAGGATGTCCCGAGCGAAACGGCCGTTTTTGGCAATGGCAGACGGATTTTCGGCAATTTACGCGTGGCCGGCGGGACGGGCCGAAGCCCACTGGGGAGTTCTTTTAGAAAAAGAACCAAAACCAAAACCTGAAACGTCCAGCACGCCGTGCACCCCTGCAAGCAGGGGGCGGCGGATAGTGGCCTTCGGCCCATTCCGCCACCGTGCCTGGATTGAGGGGTCTCTTCGGAGGGCTTTCGAGGCCTCTTGGGGGCAGTTTTGAAGCCGCGTTCGTGGCTCCAGGGGCTTCCTGGGGGCCTCTTGGGGGCCTCATGGGGCCTCTTGGGGACTTAAAAGTTTGCCGACCTCCCGAGGGATTCAAATACGCATCGCATTCATGGCTGGGGTTCGACATCCAGTGTCGCTTCCAGAGCTGCGAGAGGAGAGGACTAATAGACCCCTCCACTCGCAGCTCAAGGACGACCTCGAGCTGCGAGTGGTAGGGTTAGTCCTCTCACTCTGGAGAGGTCTGTGAGCATGATGTCTCACAGACCTCTCTAAAGTGAGAAGACTAAGCCTACTACTCGCAGCTCAAGGACGTCCTTGAGCTGCGAGTGGAAAAATATGTTAGTCCTCTCCTCTCGCAGCTCTGGAGGCGACCTTGAGACGTCGGGCGGCCCCCGAGGACCACCCCGAGCCATGCAAGCATGATTCGACTGGGCTCCCGGGGAGCCGACGGGGGCGAGAGGCCGTTTCGAGGACGTCCCCGAGCTGCGAGACGCCACTTCGAGGACGTCCCCGAGCTGCGAGAGGCCAATTCGAAGACGTCCCCGAGCTGCGAGAGGCCACTTCGAGGACGTCCCCGAGCTGCGAGAGGCTTGTTCGAGGACGTCCCCGAGCTGCGAGAGGGCCTCTCGCAGCTCGGGGACGTCGTCGAATTGGCCTCTCGCAGCTCGGGGTCGTCGAAGTGGCTCTCGCAGCTCGGGGACCCCTCGCTCTCGCAGCTCGGGGGACGCCCTCGAAGTGGCTCTCGCAGGGGGCGGCCCCCTCTCGAGGAAAGGTCTGTCGCATCCCGGGGTCGCCTCTCGCAGATCGGGGACGCCCCCGAGCTGCGAGAGAGGCCACGTCGAGGAGAGGTATGTTAGACTTCCCGCAGCTCGGGGGCGTTTTCAAGGACGCCCCCGAGCTGCGAGAAGCCATTTCGAGGGCGCCCCCGAGCTGCGAGATGCCAGTTCGAGGGCGCCCCCGAGCTGCGAAAGGCCAGTTCGAGGGCGCCCCCCGAGCTGCGAGAGGCCATTTCGAGGGCGCCCCCGAGCTGCGAGAGGCCAGTTCGAGGACGTCCCCGAGCTGCGAGAGGTCATCACGCAGCTCGGGGGCGCCTCGAAGCGGCCTCTCGCAGCTCGGGGACGTCCTCGAACAAGCCTCTCGCAGCTCGGGGGCGCCCTCGAAGTGGCCTCTCGCAGCTCGGGGACGTCCTCGAACTGGCTTCTCGCAGCCCACGTGCGCAACTAAACAGCGCGGCATACTTGGGCGTGAAATGGCAGCGGGCCAAGAGGCGAGGCAAGGGGCACGGGGGGGGGAGGCAAAGACGAGGAAGCAATGAAACTGTCAGAAGCAATGTAGCATTGAGAATTCACTACCCCACTATGTCGGACAAACGACGGGGGAGGCACTGTAGAGTTAGCGGCCCCCGAGAAGCACTGTAGGGCTAGCGTTCCCCGGGGGGCACTGTAGAGTTAGCGTTCCTCGAGAAGCACTGTAAAATTAGCGTTCCCTCTCAGCAATCACGCTCAGAAGGTGCGTGGGGGGGGTCTTGGATGGATGGCAGCGGCGAGGCTCGCAGCCGCTCGCTCGCTCGCTCGAATCCGCAGCCGCTCGCTCGCTCGCTCGAACCCGCAGCACCAGCGTCAGAGCTAGCGCCTCCTTCTCCCATTCCTCCTCGTCAATCATGGCCCGACCTCCCCCCCTCCCCATGGGCCGCATCTATAGCTGCATCGGCACATACCATTTAGGACCACAGAGCGGCTCGCCCGGGCTGGCGCGACCAAGCGACGGGGCTCGCCCGGGATGGCACGACGGCGCCGCCCAAAACTACGGTTAAGGTGCGCCGCCCACGGCGCCCGAAAGTAGTCAAGCTTGGCAGTGATTTTACAGGCTTGGACACAACTTCAGTTGCAATGCGGCGCATGGGCGTGCCGTTCACGAACATCTTCGCCAGCGACTCGGCCAAGCCCTGCCAGAAGGTCATCAAGGCTGTGCACAATCCTGGCAAGTTCTTCACAGGCATAACCAAGCGCACCCCTGAAGAGGAAGAGGATACTGACGTCTACACGTGGACGCCACCGTGCCAGGATTTAAGCCAGAACGGTCTTCGTCAGGGAGTCAATGGGCCAAAGCAGACTGGCCAGCTTATCAAGAAAGCCATGTAATACATCAAAAAAAAGAAGCCCAGGGTGTCGCTCTTCGAGAACATTTTCACGATGACCCACAAAAGGCTCAAGCCCGTGCTGGATGGCATTGTCAAGGGCTTGATCAGCATCGGCTACGCTGTGAACTACAGCGTGCTCGATTCACGCGACTACGGCATTACAAGAGATCGTCGCCGGGCGTTCGTGGTGGCCATCAGGACAGACGCCATCAAACATCCATTCAATTGGCCCGAAATCACCAAGCCGTGCCCAAGCATCAACACGATCTTGGACGCGTGGAAACCCACCGACCGGGCGGGCCGCCTGCCTACGGTCCAGCGCCAGAAGGATGCGTGCAAGACGGCCTACAAGGAGTGCTTCGACTACGGGCGCGACCCTCGTTCCACGCCCATCCTGGTTGACATCGACGCTTCGCCTAAATTCGCAACCTGCGGCATCGACGAGGCCAAGACCATCGCCAGGTCAAGGGGCGGAGATGGTGGGCCTTGGATTTCTACGAGGTGGCGCCGCACAACCCCGACTGAGTTGATCAAGCTACAGGGTTTCGAGCTGACTGATATCCCGTGGACGACGCTGAAGATCAGCCAGCGCCAGTTGGGCCAACTCATCGGCAACGCTGTTTCCGTGAACACGATTGGGGCAATTCTCGAGGAGGCCCTGTGGAGCTCAGGTTTGGTCGAGAAGAAGGTGCCTTTCCCGCGTGGAGTGAAGCATCCGCCCGGGCCACCACCGCGCAAGCCTTAGTTTTGTTCGTTGTTTCGGCTGTTTCGGCCGAGTGCTGCGCACGCCCAGCTGCGCGGTCAGCCGAATCAGCTGCGACCTGCAGGAGGAGGGTGGGGAAAAAACACACACCCGTTATCCAGCATGCGTTCAGAAAACCTATGTATACCTGTCGGTTGTTGCCCGACGTTTGTTTACATGTGAAGTTTGGCCCTCCAAAGTGCAGAGTGCGATTGGACGTTCAGATCTGCGAATAGGGCACTCGGGCTACCACTGAGAGGGGCGGGGGGAGGAGGGGGGGAAACATGCAAAACGCAATCTCTAGCCAGCATTCGTTCTGAAAACGTATGCATGCCTGTCGGTTGCCGCCTGACGTTCGCTTACATGTGAAATTCGACCCCATCCAAGGTGCAAGGTGTAGTGAGAGCATCAACACTAATGTGATTGGACAGTCAGATCTGGCGATGGGCCCCATCGGGTTGCCATTAAGGGGCGGGTGGGGGGGTGGGGGTGGGGGTGGCCTTGAACAAGTAAGTCCTCTGCCGCTCGCCATTTGGGCTCACTGCTTCGTCGCAGCACGTCTGCTTGGAGCAAGTAATGGTCCTCAAGTTGGGGGCTGCACACGACGGCCGCGGCAAGTGGAAACGAACGTATCCAGTATGGGCGAATAGGTTCCCCATAGACCATGCGCAGCCAAAGTTGGGCACGTGGCTTGATAGCAAGTGGGCGAAAGGCTTGGGCGTGGGTTGCAAAGTCTGCCGGGCTGCTGGCTTCACCATGAACCCTTTCGGTGCGTACGAAGTTAGATCAAACGGCGCCATGCAAGTTTGCTATTTACAGAAGCACGCTCAGTGTGCCGAGCACAAGGCTGCCGCGGCAGCGTTCCTAGCTGGAAACCTTGATGATGCGGCGCACTCAGTGATGTGCCCGAAGTGGGACGAATTCAAACAGGTTGCCGATGACATCGTTGCAGGCAGAAGTTTGGGCCATGGGACTATTGCGCGTCGGAGAATCCTGCGGTGCTTGAAGGAGGTCTTGTGCGCTGATGACAGAGAGGCTTTAAAGTCAGCTAGAGCGATATCTTTGTTTCGGGATGAGCGAAAAGGTCGGCTGGCTGTGAGATACCGAGCTGTAAATCAGAATTTGGATGAGTTCAGTGGCACTTTGGGCCAGGAGAGAGACTTCGGAACTGGTGCCACTAAGATTACGGAAGCTATCTTCAGAATCATAGAGCGAATGTGCACGAAGTTCAGTGACTCACCGAAACTCTGTCGTGCAACCCCCACGTTGATGCCGAGCTTGATGGCCCATGTTCGCGAGAGTGTCATGTGCATCGCCGTCGACTCAGCTGGAGATGAACTTCTCGCGAGTGAAATTATGCGCAACCGATCACTTGCTCAGACGGAAAGGGCACTCACGCCAAACCTGAAGATCGTGCTGCGCGACTCAGCGCACGCCTCGCGGCGCATCATTCCGCGACCCTGGAACGCAGACCCATACTTGAGAGATGTAGCGATGATGATGGCACAAGGCCGCAGTTCGGTCGCCAAGCTCGTGAAGAACAGCACCGAGACCTCGCATGTGTTCGCTGGGCATGTCAAGTCTTCACAGAGCTCCGCGGTTACATCCGCGATAAGGAACATGCGAGCCGCATCGCATCGTTTTGAGTATTGGCAAAAACCTCTTGGCCGCACTGCTCTCTTCATGCATGCGAGCATCAAGACAGCGATGTACGTGGCCAACCGCCCGGCCAAGGATGAGAACACCGACAAGGCCACAGCGCGGCTTGCATGGGTGGACAGCGAACGATGTTTAATGCTTGCGATGATGGCGGACGTGGCTGACGAAGGGATGTGCTTGACGAGACTGCTCGATAATGAAGACGTTGACACCGCCTGTCTCAATTCAGAAGTGCTCCTGTTCATCAGAACGGTCGAGGCAATGTTTGGTGAGAGCGAGCGGTGCTTAACTATTTTCGGTTACACTTCGGTCATGATGAACCTCCTCAACGAGTACGTGGTTTGGCACGTCAACGACGACTCGCGGAGCATAGGTTTCGAGCGCGGTGCACCTCGCGACATTGTCAACAGGTGCATGGAGAGGATGAGGTCTTACGTGGTCCTGGCGCGGGCAGCGCTGGCAGCTGAGTTTCCAAGTTTCGAGATGAGCCAGGTAACCAGGGTTACGTTGATAAGTTGTCGGGGTTTTGTTGCTTCTGGTGTTTTTCGTTTCCGATCGGGCCCCATGCGGGGCCCCGGGGGGTGATCTCAAGAGCAGTGGGGTGTGCGCCATGACCGCAGGCATTCCAAGTGTTCGACTCGTCCACCACGCACCCCCGGGCGGATGTGGATTTGCGGCGGATTGCTCAGGCATTGGATCGCCGTGCTGCCCGCGACGACCGCCGACCCCCCCCCCGTGCCGCGCCCACCCCCGAAAGTTGAGTTCAGCCACATGTCAAGGTCAACGTTGCCCGCGAGACATGCCGGGCGCCTGTTCTGCCAGGCCGCGGACATCAACCCAACTAGGCTGCAGGCTCAGTGGGAACATGGGTTCCCGAGGGCTCGCCAACAACAGCAGAGAGGTTTGTCGAATAAGGAAGCTTGGAGATATGTGATACAGAAACTAGGGCAGCAGAGACTAGCGCTGCGGCACAACATCGACGATCTGAGATCAGCTTTGGTTGCATATGTGGCCTTTGGAATCGGTACGTCGGGGGTGGAGCAGAAGTTTAGCCTGGCTGCGCTCAAGTTTAACTGTCGCCAACTCTCCTCAGACGCGCGCAGCGAGGACATGTTTCTCAAGATCGCTCTGGACTCGCCCAATCGTGACCTCAACAAAGTCATTGACAGTGCCCGGCGGATTTGGCTTGAGACCTGTGGGCGTCCTGTAGTGAGGAAGTTTCCGCGCATCGACAGAGGGGTTAAGAGACCGCGAACAGCGATGAAGAAAGGCGATGCCGAAAGCATACGTCAGCGCCGCAAGGCTGCGAGGCTCGCTGTTTCGGATACAGTGGCTGGCGATTCGACCAGGGAGGTCGGACCAGGCTCGAGCTGGGGTGCCACGCACCAGAAGGAGCCCGACTTCTTGAACAACAAGCATGATACCAAACGATGCATTGCATACTCGGAGAACGTCCCCCTACCACAGGAAGTGACGCATGCTGTTTGCGAAGACGCCGCCGCCAAACACAAGAAGCAACTTGCTGATCAATTGGCCAGGTCGCGTAAGACTAAGCGCGTGCGATTAGCCGCGCTGGGCACGCCAACGGCCAAGCTCCTCGAAGCCATCAAGGGGAAGCCTGTTTTCGTGGATATACCTTGCAGGTCGCCAGAGGTGGCGGCCGCACACATCGCCTGAAATCAGTTCGGATGCACGAGGCTGAAGTTTTTGTTGCACAGACAGACACCAGGGCGCGCTGGCCCGTTCATTACCGCTGCATCGGCGTTCAAAGGGGGATATGAAGTTACCCCGGGGCTTTTAATTGCAGGCCGTTTTGGCGCTTGGGTCAAAATGCTACCAACGTACCATTTGAAAGAAGTAACGTTTTTGAGCACCGAGTTCAGAGACACGCAGCGTGCGTTCTGCGAGTTCGTACAGAACTTCATCGGGCACACTCCAGGCTGCAAATGGAGGCTTGGCGGGTTTAACTGGCCAGCGTTGAAGAAGGCGCACGCGCCCGGCAACCTCTTCGCACTAGTCTCGCCGCCAGAGGTGGCGCAACCTGCCTTTCATAACCATCGGAACACATTCACGGTCGATTCGTTCTTGACGAGAATCAGGTGCGTTTGCATGTCCAGTTCTGCATCGGGCTTGCGGTGATGCTGTGGAAAAAATGCGTGGGCATCAATATCAATCGGTATGAGGTCGAGTGGGTCAGACTGCGAGTTATGAACTTGAGTGTGTCTGAATATGAGTGAGTATGCGTCGTCACGTTCCGTAGCCATCTTGCGTTCAAGGCTGCCAAAGTATTAGCATTCACTGGCGGGGTGTCCAGCCCCACACAAAAATGCAAGACGCAATGTCGTTTTCCTCAGCGGCCGTTCGGACGATTACGTTGACCTCGACCAGGACGGCGTCACCCATGCGATTCGCTGTGAAGCAAATGTGAAGATGCGCACATTGGCGGAGGCGGCGCACGTCCTGATTGACGACGACACGTTCCAGCATCACGTGAACATGGACTTCAGCGACCTGACCATGATCGCAGCCCAGTGTCCGGGCGCTGACGGCCGCAGCGACATGCTGATCATGCTGACCGAGAAGATCGAGCGCACCCAGCAGATGTGGTGGGCGGCCGGATGGGAGTTTACCACTGGGCTCAAGAAGGAGATGAAGGCCAAATGGGACGAACTCCACGGTAAGCGCCAGGGCGAGTTCAGCGAGAAGTTCGGCCAGGGCGAGTTCCGCGGGGCGGCGATGGCCTTCGGCTTCGCGGTGGCAACTGGCGCGTCGCCACGTCTGCCGCAGCCGACCCGCCCACTGCGCCTACCAAGGCCAAGGACCGCAGCCGTTCGCCGCCGAGCCGCGCACGCACGCGCGATGAGGGGCTGGATTGTTCTGACACGTTGGATCCGACGCCGCTTTCGGACGACGACACGCAGAAGACGTTGCCATTGAAGGGCCCCCCTGGGAGTCCGACGGGGATTCATATATAAGAATTAGTGCTTTGTCGTAGGAGCGCGGGATTTCTGTGGCTGCTTCGGCCGCGGCTCTCTGGAGCGCAGAGGAAAAAGCAGAATCCCCCTTCCTCGTCCTCATCCTCCGCGTCCCCCAGCCCTCCTACGCCCTCCCTTTCAACCGCCATCTCCTCCCTCCACGACGCGCGCGCGCTCCACCAGTCCTCTGACAGTTGAGCGACAGCCAACTTGGTTGGGGGGGTGCCCCTCCCCCGTGGCTCCGAGACGGCCCCTGCGATAACCTGAAGCATCGCCATCGGCATTCAAACACTCATCGCGGCCCCAATGGCTGGCCCAATCATGATCTACACGCTCCTCATTGCATCGCCATTCGCCCGCCCGTTCCAGCTCAGGTTAGCCCGGGCCCAACGATTGCCGCCGCGACCAACCGCGCGGCGGCCGACGACGGCGGCGCCAGCATCGCCTACACCTTGGTAATGGCCATCCTCGTCGGCGGCGCAGTCCAGAGCGCGATTGCGATATGGCTCTGGGAGCGGCTGTGCCCGAAACGTCCGACGCCGACTGGCGCCGCGACCATCCACGCGGCGGCGCCGACGCCGACCGCCGCCACCCACATGGCGGTGCCGCCGCCGACAGCAACGCCGACGCCAACGGCGCCGACCGACGCCACGGCGCCACCGCCGACGCCAGCGGCGCCGACGCAGATGCTGATGACGCGAACGGTATCTACGCAGAGCCAAACGACCTACAAACGGTAAATGAGCCTAGGTTCATGCCGCTCCCGGAGAACTCTCACGGCGCAGGGCAGATCGACCCTTTTTGGAATCCGCGCCGTGGCTGACCCAGGACACGGCGGAATTTGCACGCGCGTTGGGAATTAACGCATCAAGAGCTTCGGCCGTGGCGCTGAAGAAACACATCGCCATCGCAACCTCCATCTTCGCTCTCTCGTTCCTCCGTCTCGACTTCCCATTCCATCATGCGTCCTTCTGCCCCTCCCATCCCTCCCCTGCGATGCGAGATATCATTGGTGGTCCACCCCCCTTCCCCCTGCCCCCCCCCCCTCCTCCTCAGCGAGATGCTTCGCCGAAGCCCGAAAAGATAAGTTCAGCACGGATGCACCAGAAGGACCCATTTTATATGTTCAGCCAAGATAGGCTCAGCATGGAGGCCCGAAAATGGCCCATTATAGGTTCAGCAAGGAGGCCCAAACATTACTCATTATGGGTTCAGCTTGAAAGGGCCCCCCTCCTCATGCTTTGAATTGGTCCTCCTCCTCATCAACACTCCCTGCTCCAACGCGCCCCGGGCCACCCCCACTCGGGCGCGGGCGGGCCATTGGCTGCTTCGGCCACGCCGCTCTCATCCCCCCTTCTCCTCCTCCGTAGCCAGTTTCTGGCTCAATTTGAACGGGCTCCACTCGTGCTTCATTGCGTGAACGGGCCGCCCCATGACTGGGGCATACTGCGCGGCGCAAATGGCGCTCGATACCACGTGGTCGGGCCCCGCGGCGGGCCCTACACCTCCCGCCCGATATCGACGCCGAGGGAGCCGGGTGGCCCGACGCCTTCCGACGAGGACGCGGCTCAAGCCATGAAGATCCACCGGGAAGTCGACAAGGCGCATGCTGGCGAAGGACACGGTCAGCCACATGAGCGGGATTGGCGCCATGGCCAAGATGATGGGGCGGATGTTGGCTGCGCACCAGGCCGAGATCTTCATTGCCAAGATTGGCTTGCTTGGGCATGGTGATCTGCGTTATGCTGCTCCGCTCCGCATTTTGCTGCCCTCGGCTCATCGGTTGCGGGCCAGGCTGATCAGGGGGCTAGCTGCCCAATTGAACCACATCGCGGCGATGTTGATCCAGATCAAGCTTCTTCAGAAGATTTCGGAAGATCCCGATGACGCCGCAGATGCGTTGGGCCCGTGGGTCGACGATGCCGACGCCGACGCCGACGCCCACGCCGCCTCTGAGGCGGAGCCCGCCGCGGCGCCAGGCAGTAGCTGACTGCGCCGCTAATCGGCTGCTTCGGCCGAGATAGGTTTGAAAAAATATTTATCCTCCTCCACTTCCCTCCTCCTCCTCCTCTCAATCCTGCATTCCTTCCTCCAGCCTCCGCTTCATCGTTTCGACAGGGAACGTGTCATGCAGCCCTCGAAACGTTACGCGGCGGATGGGCCATGATCACTCTCACTGCCCAGTCCGCCAGCTGCGTCTGCAATGCCAGGCTACCTCCGCTGACTCCGAGGGCCTCGGGCGCAAGCTCTTGAGCCCCCCCCCTCTCCGCTGTCGTCGGGGACGAATGAGGCATCTATTCGAAGCAGAGAACACAATCGCGCACAAGTCTCTGATGCACGTGGAAGTGGAACAAACGACCCGCCCCGCAGCTCGCGAATTAAACCCGCTGGTCACTGCGGGGGGCGGGCGCGCGGGCATGGCCGAAGCAGCCAATGGAATCGTGCGATGCGGCAACCCTTCCCCCCCCCCCCGTGAACCTTCCTCACCACGTTTGACCCCTTTGTTCTGCTCGTCCCAATCGCTGCAGTAGGCGTGGACCATCTTTGCTAACATGTCTGTGTCGATCTTCGGGTCGAAATCCAAACGAAAATAGATTCTCGCCAACTTCACCCATTGCCCCCTGTTGTACGCAGTACGATCCCATTGTACAAACCTAAGGCGTTCGGGGGGTGTTAGGTCCCCCTGAGCGATCCCATGCCCATATGTATAACGGGCCCATGATGGCACCCGGGGGGGGGGAGGTTCCTCCTCCATGGCAACTTGAACCTGAATGCTATGATATATTGTGAGATGCTACGCAATGCTACTGCTCATCGCGCATGCGTGTGCTCGGGCACGCGCTGGGGGGGGCAGCGCAATCGCCCGGGGCCTCGAAAAGGACCCCTCGGGCGACGCGCACGCATTGCAGGCTTGCGGTATCGATGCGGCGTCGCACTTGGAAGCGCAGCGCACTCGACGCTGGACTGTCCTCCTTGCCCCAAGAACCTCGACGCTGCATTATCGCCATCATCGCCACGTTAACGAATGACGTGTTGATATGGGAAGTAGAGAAGGATGGGGAAGGGGACGCGATGAGGAGAGCTCGGCGCCTCTTGGCGGCCACTTAAGTTTGAGGGGAGGTCCCGAGCACTTAACTTAATTGTACCTGCTATCCAAATATAAACAACCACACTTGTTTTTATTGAAACCGATTGCCGACCACATCGAAATGCCATAGCTTAAAAAATACTTTCAAATCCAGGTCAGCATGGGCCCTGCAGGCTGGCCACCGCCCCTGTCGGCAGCTCGCGCTGCCCCCGCCGCCTCGCCGCCCCCCCGCGACGCGGTCGCGCTTCGCCTGCGCCGCGCTGCGCCGCCGCAGGGCCGCGCGCCCAGCCCGCCGCAGCCGATCCGCGCAGCCGCCGCCGGCTCTTCTACGCTGCGCCCCCCGGCCCGCCACCCGGCGGCCCGCCGCTCCCGCTGCCCCCGCTTGCTGGGCACCGCCCTACACTCGGCCGCCAAATGATCCTCTCCTGGGCGCGCCCGCGACGCCGCCCCGCGCTCTCTGCCGCGGGGCGCCCGGCGGCCCGGCCGCCCCGCGCGCCCCCCCCCGGCCTCGCCGCGCGAGTGCGATCTCTTTTCTCGCTTCCCGCCCCCGCGGCCGCCCGTCGTCTGCCCCCCTCTTGCACGCAGGACAAATCGCAATGCCGCAGCCCGGATTG